TATATATATATATGCATACTTAATCGTCGATGTCTGTTGATAGATCATATGTTTGGCTACGACAGAGATCAAAGCTGTACATTTTGTTTTTATTTGTTTCATTTACTTTTTTTTCTTGCAGATCTATTGTTTGGGATAATAGCGATCATAAAGAATTACATAGCGAAAATGGATTTATTTGGGTATCCAATAAAACTGGAAATTTTTGGTTGAACACAGTGATGAGCAACGGTAACCGAAAAAAAAAAAAAATTTGCAAAACTATTAGATAGTTTTCTTCAAACTTTTTTTTTTCAGACTTAATGTCGATATATGTATCCTTTTTTCTTCGTATCCAAAAGTTGTTTTTTATATATGCCGAATTTTAGTGCAAAAAAGTTTTCTTTCTTCTATTATGTTTGTCTAAATACACTACAGTAACTGGTTTGCTTTTTCTTGACTTTTATAAGGCTTCAAAAAGATTTTATTTTTTTTAGCTTTTCTAAACAATTACTGTAATTTGGGCACAAAAAAAATGTGTTGCTTTGTTGTTGAAATCATTTAATTTTTTAAAATAAACCTAAAAATTAATCTTGCTTAGTTGTGCATCTACTAAATTGTAGGAAATGTAGTAAATACAATGATTTTACTGCAGGTTTTATCACCGCTGAAGAAGGTAAGCTGTGCAACGATACAATAAGTTTTGTGCTAAAGAAATTTGAACGACTCGGATTTAGTCGAGATTTACCGGTACGACAGGTATGTATGTAGTTTTGTATATTGGAACTTTTCAATAACCTTTCTTTTTCTTCAAAAATGAAGGAAACAAAAAAAGAAGAAAGAAGTTTTTTTGTATGAGCATTATGCAATTGCAGACGTTACGAAAATGGCAACTTTTGGATGCCGATCATCTGGAAAGCAAACTGTGGATGAGTACATTTACACATCATCGGATGATGCAACATGCAGCAATTGTTCTTACTAAAGTTTCATCCTAAGTTTTTTTTTTTTACAGCTTAACAACCTTTTACAACTGTTGTAAATACAATACCTATTTTTTTGCTGCTGCTGCTGTTGCTTCTGCTTGATTTTACTACGGAAGCAGTTTTGTTTTGGAATTGACAATTTTTAATTGCTTTATTTGATGGATTAGATTATGCTTAGTTTTGCTACTTCTTAATATCTTTAAGTTATTACTTTTGCTGTTACTGTTGTTGTTTTTGTTGCTGCTGTTGCTGTTGCAGTTGTATATATTGATAGATTGAAGTCATGTAGATATGGAAAGAAAATGACGAAGAAGTAGGAAGCAAGAAGAATGAAAAGGATAAAAAAACAGTTATTACTTAGTTTAGAGGAAATGTTTACAAATAAAAAAAAAAAATTGGTTTATCAACAGGTATCGTCCCTTACTTTACATCTATAAATCAATCTTTATTAATCTTTTTCTTCTTTTTTTTTATACATATGTTTACCTTGTAAAAAGAAAAAAGAAATTTTTTATATGTTTATATATAAGTATTAGTTTGAAGTTAGTTAGTGCTGTTGATACAACTATCTTCTTATTTTTCTTCTCCTGCTCCTTGATCTTCTTTTACCAACATTGTCCTCCATCAAATGTTTACCATTTGTTCAACAATTCGTATTCTTTTTTTCATATACTTTTTGTATGCATATATGTGGTACGTTTATATTTACCAAGTTTGTTTTTATCTACTTACAAAACATGCATATTTTTACTAGCATACGACCTCTTCTTTTTAGTATGTATACTTTAGAGCTTCTGATTTTTTAACTGGTTCCTTACGTTAATCTTAAATTACTCAGTTACATTAGCTGTAATACAAAACTGTACAGAGATTGCTGCTGTTACTTCGTGTAGGAAAACTGCTATCAATCTATTTGGATTGACTCAATTAATCTTTGAAATCTTCTTGAATTTTTTCAATTTTCACAAATTAAACAATTTTCTAAATTAGCAGTCTTTTGTTGTGAATTACATAGAATTATTGTTGATCAAAATGAACCTTTTTTAGTTGGTCTGAAAGTTTTTTGATAACTAAGTTTCAAAAAATTTTTATAAATTGCTGATTGTGACAATAAAGATAAATGGGTTGTTGAATGAGTTTATGGTTTGTTGTCAACATTTAGGTTATTTGTTGAAGCAATTGAAGATGAAAAAATAGCTG